TTAAATGTTCCTGGTGTTTTTACCATAATCTGACCTCTTTAGCTTGGCTCAGATTTGTGCAGCTGCTTTCTGCATGTGCATTCCCTTCAATTGGCTGCCCTACCTGCAGAAACGGGAGAAAAGAAGACCAATCCTTTTTTCATTTGCACTGAGCCCCATAGTGCTGCTGCACTAGGCGATTTGGTACGTGCAAAAACATCCTGCGATTGCCAATGTATGCCAATGCATAATTCATAATGGCACCCCCACGTGTCTGCTAAAGTGTGGCTAGTTTCCCTGTGGTCAGGGAACACTCTTGGTTTTGTGCATGTTCCCCATCTGCAGAGATTTGAACCTAGGCTAACAGATGATCTTATACACATTCTCATGGTTTGACTTACAGCCCAGGGGCGGACTGACCATTTAGAAACTCGGGCACTGCCCGAGGGCCCGGAGTCAGTAGGGGGCCCCATGAGATGCCCCTGGTACCTTTTTCATAGGCCTTTTTGAGTTTGGGCAAGGACACAAGGGCCCCATGATCCCCTATTGCCCGGGGGCTCCATGAGTTGTCAGTCCGGCCCTATCCAGCCCACAGAGTATTATATAAAAAGGTGCATACTAGCAGGACCAGGTATACGGACCCAAAGCGTGTGCATTGTCAGTACATTATCCAACCACCAAACTGCTTAAACTGTGCAGGAATAGCAACAATGTTGACCTGGCCAGCTTGCACTGGTGGGCAAGTGACAAACTTTATTAAATATGAAAATGTGTTACTGACAGATACATGATATGTGGGAGGCTGTGTGCTGCCCCCGGCTATGGCCTATCTTAGATATGCAGCAATCTGGCCCTGCATATGTTGTGCCACATTTATTTACATACTGTTCATGCTGCCTCTGCTTTGGAAATGTTCACATCTGACAATAAAGAGAGTTATACCCATTTAATAACATAAAGTTATATGTGCTGCAGCCCTTACCCTAGGTTCACACCTAAGCTTTTCCGCAGCATTTTGCAGAAACGCAGTACAGTCCATTTAACATGATTTCCTATGGGACACGTTCACATATTAGCATTTTCACCCGGTGTGTGTTTTTTGGAAAGGGTCAGGGACTTTTTGAAGGCAAAAAGTTGCCTTTTTGGTTCTATAGACTTCAATGGAAACACTACAGAAAAGCATGTAGTGCTTTTTCGCCATGTTTTTGATGCATTTTGCATTTTAAATCTGCCTAGCAACAAGAAAAAAAAAGCAAAAATGTGGTAAAAACGCAATGCAGAGACGGATAAAACACAAACTGCATAGGTGTGAACCTAACCTAAAAGTGCAACTACATCGCATCTAAGCAAAAACCAAAAAATGCACTTTTAGTATCCAAAGCAAACTCATCCATCCACCCATGTTTCCATGCTTTAGTTTGCCAAGAAATCACTTTTAAAAATACCTCCAGCATTTCTAGCCATGGCCATCTTGAGTAAGGGCAGATAATTCTTGTAGCATTTACTTCCTGGGATCCATCTGCCCTTAGCACAGGAATGCAGGCAGGAGGGTGTGCTTAGCTGAGAAAACCCCTCCTCCTCTCCTGAAGACTCCTGGGATGTATGATATAATTTGCCTAGGCATGGAAGCCAGGAAGTTACTGAAGAAATGTAAAAAAAAAGTTTAAAACATGTTAATATGATATACTTTCCTATCCATTTACTAATGCTAGCAGCAAAAGGATTAAAAAGAGTCAACGCTGATTGAAAGAGTGAAGATCTGCTTTAAATATATGTGAATCTGTACTTACCTGTATCAGCACGTATGCACACACACATCGAGACACAAAATAACTTTCCTTTATTAAAATAGAGAGCAGAAACAAGTTCTATTCTGACATGTTTCGCCCTAGGCACAGCTCTTTCTCAAAGAATGAGAAAACCACTACCCATACACCATTATATAGAAACATCATTAATCCCACATGATCAATGGAATGGATTTGAATGTTTAGATAATGGAGAGGATAATAATCATGTGGGATCAATTCATTTAATTTGTCATTCTTTGAGAAAGCGCTGTGCCTAGAGCGAAACATGTAAGAGTAGAATTTGGTCCAGCTGGCTATTTTAATACAGGAAAATTATTTCACATCTCGGTGTGCGGTAATCCTGTAGCTGATACAAGTGATTGCTTTGGTAGAGACAAATAAATCAGTAAGAACCCTGCACTTGTTAAAATGGAGTAACTGCTCTGATTCTAGCAGCTGCCAGCACCACAACTGTACATCCTCTCTTATACTAACAGTTATTTAACCGAAAATTAAAAATAAAAAAAAACAGTTGCAGTGCCACCCTATAACACCAAAATTGTGTAGCACCCTCTACTATGCTAGTAGTGTTAGTGTAGGTGAATTTATTATGGTATGACTAAGGGTAATTGTGTGAGTCTGTACTAAGGTCGGGTTACTGCAGGTAAGGCTGGGTGACTCAGCAGGTTGGTATTCTATCTCCTCCACCTGGTCCTGGAGGACCATGGAAGCCTCTAGAAGCCAGTGTGCAAGAGGGTTGGAGACCTAAATCTGCATGTTTATGGGAGTCTGGCCAAACCCAGGTTTGGGAGCGCTGGTAGTGTGGTAAGGCTAACGCATAAATATGGGACAGCCTTGCTAGCAGAGGAGTGCTGAGAAGTCTTTCTGTGGCCTGGGAGGGGTTCCTTAGGTCTAGGGGAGCATCGCCTTCAGGCTTGGCTCAGGCTGGCTCAGGAAGATCCATTCAACATCACAGTATGAATAGGATCATTGCCTGGAAGCAGTGGGAGCAAGAAGGACAGATTGAGTACATCAACACACCCAGGGGATAGAATGCAACATGTAGCAAGCTTTCAAAGGACAGCGCTGTGCTTAATCCTTTATCTTTGTCCTGGAAGATCTTCAGAGCAGCCAGGAGGGCTGGCAATTCCACAAGGGAGAGGAGATACTTCTGCAATTAGTTTGCAACAATCTGTGCTAATTTTCAGGCTCCATGCACACTGAGCATATTAATAACGCTGGTAACGTTAGCTGTGTAAAGTCATGTTAAAAACGTGAGTTTTTCAGCGTTTTTTAGCATTTTTGTATTAGCGTTTAGCGGCGTTTTGCCACTTTTTTTGCGTTTGTGTTTTTTTTTTTAGGTTTTTTAAACAAAAAAAAAAAGTTCTGGTCAAAAACAGTCCGAAAACGCTGTTTGTCGCGATTTACAGCATTTTATCGCATTTTGCCGCATTTTTGCAGCAATAGAGCATTTTTACAGCTAAAAAAACTCAAGAAACCCACTAGTTCTGGGGTTTTTTTCCAGTCAAAAAAACATCCCTGCCAAAAATGTTGATTACAGTCTATGTGTGTGTGGACACATAGGATAACATGCTGGGGAGTTTACTGGCTGTAGAAGAAAAACTTAAAAAGCCAACAACAGCCGCTGTAAAAATGTCCAGTCTGCATGAGGAATGCGAGTCCCGAGCCCATAAGGGGCTTTTGCTACTGATCCATAAAAATGGACCACATTCAAGGAAAAGAACAGTCCAGGATCTTTTTCTGTAAATAGGAAGGAAGTTGTCCCCATTGTTCCAGTCAAGTTGTGCATCCCATAACCCCTATTACCCTATCCAAGTTATTTTCCCTAATAAATAACAAAAACCAAGCTCATGGACTGGAAAATGGACAGGAAAATGCATGCTGCCTGGCTGTGCGAAGCTAAGGGGGACCCAGAAACACAGTGTTTCACATGTGTTACACTTTAAAAAAAATCATACAATGAACAATCTACATCTGTGATCAAAAAATGTGACAATTGTGAAATAATATAATATTGTAATAAAATCTATAAATAAAGCAAAGAAATGCAAGCAAATCCATATTTCTTGTGCAATAAAGTCTCTAATCCATCTGTGCTCTTTTACATATGCCTGAAAATACAGATGACATTCAATAAAATATTTCCCTTCTTTCCAGTGTTCTTTAACCACACTCCTTTCCTTGCCAAGACTACTTGTGGTCAGGGGCGGACTGACCATTTGGAAACTCGGGCACTGCCCGAGGGCCCGGGGTCAGTAGGGGGCCCCATGAGATGCCCCTGGTACCTTTTTCATAGGCTTTTTTGAGTTTGGGCAAGGACACAGGGGCCCCATGATCCCCTATTGCCCGGGGGCCCCATGAGTTGTCAGTCCGCCCCTGCTTGTGGTGAACTATAAAACACCTCGTGCAAATCACTTTGTGCTGTCGAAAGTGCTCACACCCAATGAATGCACACACCAGATTTTGTTGACCCTCTTGGGTGAATAAGTGGCTCTATAATAGCTTTTTTCAATGCTCTGCCTCTTTAAGGCTTGTGTATCACAAAGTAACTGGATTTACTACGTCTTTAGACTGTCACACAAGAGCCTTTAGTTGTAACATCCTTGAACAGATAAATAAAAAATATGCCAGCTGGAATGAAAAGATTACCTTTGCAGGAGAAAATGCTGCTCCAAGCAACCTGTCAGTGTTGGCCATACATCTTGGGCCCTTGGTCATGTGATCTCCATGCAAGAGGAAATTTAGCCACTCTGAAGTAGACGTTAGGTCAGCCTTTCTCAACCAGGGTGCTCTGGCACCCCGGGATGCCTTGAGGTTTCTTTAGGGGTGCCTTGGAAAAATATCTAAAATTTGCCCAAAACTTGTATAAAAGCAAGCCTTTAATTACAAAAAGCCACAGGTTTTCATTGTGCACCATTAGGACCTTCTATTCTCCAGTGTCCTGACAACAAATGATGTCATTGGTTGATAAGGAGGATGTCGGTTGCCTGCACAGCATCGTAATTTGACCCTCCCCCGCCCCTCTCCATCAGTGTTGGGGTCACATCAGGTCAGTGATGGAGTGATGGAGAAAAACTGAGGGAGAAGAGAAACATTGGAATACTAGTCAGTACCAGTGTGCAAAAATGTATTTGATTTGGAAGAATAAACCACCTCTAATGTTGGATGTCCGATGTGTGTGGATGTTGCTGCGTTGTATAAAACTATTAGAATAGTTTTTACATTTTAGAATGGGGTGCCTCAAGACTGTCCATAATTTTAGAGGGTGCCTCGGGACTGTCCATAATTTTAGAGGGGCCTCGGGACTGTCCATAATTTTAGAGGGGCCCCGGGACTGTCCATAATTTTAGAGGGTGCCCCGGGCCCATAATTTTAGAGGGGCCTCTGGACTGTCCATAATTTTAGAGGGTGCCTCATGATTTTAGAGGGGGTCTGGACTGTCCATAATTTTAGAGGGGCCCCATAATTTTAAAGGGTGGGACTGTCCATAATTTTAGAGGGGGCCTCGAGACTGTCCATAATTTTAGAGGGGCCTCGGGACTGTCCATAATTTTAGAGGGGCCTCGGGACTGTCCATAATTTTAGAGGGTGCCTCTGGGCTGTCCATAATTTTAGAGGGTGCCTCTGGGCTGTCCATAATTTTAGAGGGTGCCTCTGGGCTGTCCATAATTTTAGAGGGTGCCTGTCCATAATTTTAGAGGGGCTGTCCATAAAATTTAGAGGGTGCCTCAGGACTGTCCATAATTTTAGAGGGTGCCTCTGGGCTGTCCATAATTTTAGAGGGTGCCTTGAAAAAAGGTTGAGAAACACTGCGTTAGGTGACCAAAAGCCTGGATCAGGGGTGGACTGACAACTCATGGGGCCCCCGGGCAATAGGGGATCATGTCCTCACCCACACTCAAACCACACTAAAAAAAGCCTATGAAAGGTACCAAGGGCATCTCATGGGGCCCCCTACTGACCCCGGGCGGGTAATAGCCAAGTACAAGAATGGTCAGTCCGCCCCTGGCCTGGATTTCACACATCTGTCAAGCAGGGAGGAGATAATGAAGTGCTCATTTGCTCGGGAATGTATTTATTCCTTATATATTCTTTAAATATCTAATCCAGCAAGACTGATTAATAGCTCTGTGTTAACATTTGAGAATAGATCTGATTCCATTTCCATTGTATAATGCTTTCAAATACCGCCAGACTACAATATTAGTCAGCAAAATGACACTAAACTAGACAAGGAAAAATAATCTGTGCAGTGTGATTTCATCATTGGGCTGGAAACGCACCTTTTGCATTTTTTTTTCTAATGTATTAAATTGTTGTCATTAGAGCAATTCGTTTTCATGAAAACAAATAGAAATGCATTAAAACACATGCAAACATGCAGTGTAATGAGTGTTAAAATGCAAGTCAACGTCTGACAATGTGTGTTGACAGGAAATAAAAAGTGCATTTCAATGTGCAATAAACACACGCTAACATCATACATTTTTGCTGCTTATAGTGAATAAAAAATGCATCAGAAAAAATACACCAAATGGGATCATAGAGAAGAGCTTTAGTGGAAACCTTACATGTGTGATTCAATAAAAAACAAATCTAGTTAGATTCTCATTTAAAACTTAGCGTGTTACTAAAGCTACAACAGAAAAATCAGTCTGTATATGTAGTAAAACATGCTTGCTATACTCACTGTGGAACCTAAGGGGTTAACCCTCCACGTTGTGAAAAAAAAGGCTGTTTGATCCTGTCTTCTCTGATCCTCCCCTTCTTCTACTGTCCCCAATCTATCTGCTAATAAAACAGAGCCTTGGGGGCAAGGTGTACATGCTCAGTTTGGTGTGTATTGCTAGAGAGTTTTCATTTCTTGGGAGAGTGCATGCGATCAGTACAGGGCCAATCAGCACTGTCCAGACAGGTGGTCAGGGGTCATGCAGACTCAGGATAATCAGGGGAGAATGAAAACTCCTCCTACAAGCTTTAACATGTGCTCTGCTGCACACTGATAGAAGTCACAAGACTGCTATATACAGCTGATGAGAAAAGGTATCTAGCAGTTTATATTTACTAAAATAATTGTACTTCCATGTTCTGTGTACTGTGGGAGACCAGATATAGTGAATGCAGGGTACAGGGTTTAGTAACACTTTAGGAATTACTATAGAGGGCATATGAGTAAACAAAATCTCAGACATCAGAAAAATGTCCAAATTAAAGTAAATGTTACCCATTCTGCAAAATCTCACATACATATAAGTTTTAACACGTTAGTGCAATTTGAAAAGTCATTTCAATCTGCAGCTTTTATTAAAGCGGAGCTCCTGTGTCTGGTGAAAAAAAAAAAAACTGCAGCAGCCACTCACCTGTCCCAGGTTCAAGCGATGTCCTCACTGCAGTCGGGTTCATCAGCCATTCTGTGACATCTTAGGTGTGGGCACTCGGCTGTGACAGCTTGTGGCTTCACAGACGGGTGCCCACTGTGCATATGTGAGCAGCACTGCACATTGTGAATGGTCCTGCAGTCCTCTGGGACCTGTCACGTGTCCAAGAAGACTGCAGGGTGGAGGAGGGGGAGGAGAACTTTAACTTCTGATTACTTAGGTGATCGTAGCGGAATTGGGAGCGGGTACCTGTCAAAATCGGTTAGACACCCTCCCAGTATCCCTCCGAGAAACAATTGACCCCCCCTTGCAGCAACAGAAGACCTCCTTGGTGACAATTGACCCTCCAGAAATTCTGAAGGACCCTCTGCACACTGGTATATACCCTTTCCAGCAGACTTTGCAATAAAGAGTAGGGATATTTAGTTCACACATTTTTTTTAATAGACCCTCCAGCATACCCCAGCACCCCATGCTATTACATATATTCAGTGCTGGACGTGCCGGAACTGCGTTCCTCTATGTTTCTGCTGAAAAAAAGCCATATATATATATATATATATATATATATATATATTGCATACTGTATATCTCAGGTGAGAAAGATGGACTGAGTTTCATTGTAACGTTGAAACGTTGACAATTAAAACACTGCTGTTATTGATCTTCCTCCTCTGCAAGACCTGTGAGTGCCTCAGTTTTGTATATATATATACAGTCATGGCCGAAATTGTTGGCACCCTTGATATTTTTCCTGAAAATCAAGTATTTCACACAAAAAAGGTATTGCATTAACACATGTTTTGCTATACACATGTTTATTCCCTTTGTATGTATTGGAACAAAATAAAAAACAGGGAGGCAGAAAAGCAAATATGACATAATGTCACACAAAACCCCAAAAATGGGCTGGACAAAAGTATTGGCACCCTTAACTTAATATTTGGTTGCACACCCTTTGGAAAACATAAACTGAAATCAGTGATCGCTTCCTATAACCATGGGGCAATAAAGCTTCAATATAGACACCTCTCACCCGGAATTTTGGACCACTCTTCCTTTGCAAACAGCTCCAGTGTCTCTCTTATTGGAAGGACACTAACCTTTTCCCAACAGCAATTTTAAGATCTCTCCACAGGTGTTCAATGGGATTTAGATCTGGGCTCATTGCTGGCCACTTCAGAACTCTCCAGCGCTTCTTTGCCATCCATTTCTGAGTGCTTTTTGACGTATGTTTGGGGTCATTGTCCTGCTGGAAGACCCAGGATCTTGGACGCAAACCCAGCTTTCTGACACTGGGCCCTACAGTGCGACCCAAAATCCTTTGGTAATCCTCAGAATTTCATGATGCCTTGCACACAGTCAAGGCACCCAGTGCCAGAGGCAGCAAAACAACCCCAAAAACATCATTCCAAAACCTCCACCATATTTTACCGTAGGTACTGTGTTTTGTTCTTTGTAGGCCTCATTCCGTTTTCGGACAAACAGTAGAATGATGTGCTTTACCGAAAAGCTCTATCTTGGTCTCATCTGTCCACAAGAGACATTTCCCAGAAGGCTTTTGGTTTACTCAAGTACATTTTGGCAAACTGTAGTCTTGCTTTTTTATGTCTCTGTGTCAGCAGATGGGGGTCCTCCTGGGTCTCCTGCCATAGCGTTTCATTTCATTCTAATGTCGAAAACGGATAGTTCGCGCTGACACTGAACAATGCTCCCTGAGCCTGCAGGACAGCTTGAATGTCTTTGGAACATGTTTGGGGTTGCTTATCCACCATCCGGACTATTCTGCGTTGCAATCTTTCATCAATTTTCCTCATCCGTCCACGACCAGGGAGATTAGCTACAGTGCCATGGGTTGCAAACTTCTTGATAATGTTGCGCACTGTGGACCCCAAACAAATCTAGTTCTCTGGAGATGGACTTGTAACCTTGAGATTGTTGATATTTTGCCACAATTTTGGTTCTCAGGTCCTCAGACAGTTCTCGTCTCCTCTTTCTGTTGTCCATTGCTTAGTGTGGCACAGACAGACACACAATGCAAAGGTTAAGTGAACGTCTCTCCTTTTTATCTGCTTTCAGGTGTGATTTCTATATTGCCCACACCTGTTACTTGCCCCAGGTGAGTTTATGGAGCATCACATGCTTGTAACATTCTTTTTATCCGCAATTGTGAAAGGGTGCCAATACTTTTGTCCAGCCCATTTTTGGAGGTTTGTGTGACATTATGTCGATATTTGCTTTTTTCCTCCCTTTTTTGTTTGTTCCCAATACACACAAAGGGAATAAACATGTGTATAGCAAAACATGTGTTAATGCAATACGTTTCGTGAGAAATACATGATTTCCTGGAGAAATATCAAGGGTGCCAACAATTTCGGCCATGACTGTATATATATATATATATATATATATAGACGTACAAAGCTGTCCATAATACTGCCCCAAACTACATCACCGACCTAATATCCAACCACCCAAAAACACACTCTCCGCTCCTCACAAGACCTCCTTCTCTCTAGTTCCCTGGTCTCCTCCTCCCATGCCCGCCTCCAGGACTTCTCCAGGGCATCACCCATCCTCTGGAACTCCCTACCCCAATCCATCAGACTATCACCTACTCTCCTCACCTTTAGGCGCACCCTGAAAACCCACCTCTTCAGGGAAGCCTACCCCGCCCCCTGCTAATTGACGATCTTCTCCACTCTTCCTACCACTCCATCCCCCACAGCTTTTCCTCCCGTACCACTATCCCCTCCCTCCTAGATTTTAAGCTCCAAGCAGCAGGTTTGGCAGGCGCAGCAATTGCTGTTTCTTTATAGGTAAAGGACACACAGTGAGCGCTCTCAAAGAAACAGCAGCTGAACATCCAGGATAAACGCATGTAAAAATCCTCAGTAAAACATATACATATAAAAATGCAGCGCTGTAAAATTATCAAATCATGCAAATCAACACAAAAATAGTCCTGAAAAGGCGCTCATTAATTCCCATTGCCAATGGAAAGAATGCAAACTAACCAGAAGCGCATTTAAAATACGCATGTGTGTAAGAAATCCTGGAGATTCCCCTCTCTCCCTCTGGTCAGAAAATGGATATGTGCTGAAATGGATGACGATAACGCCCTCTAGTGGGAAAAAGAAATCCTGCAGGTCAGGAAGCTCCCAGGATAGGATATTCCTCTTCAATGGAACCAGGGCTGGGACTGAAATCACTCTGTGGCTGTGAAATTGGGAGAAAGACCCCTCACAGAGAGATACTCATAGTGTAGTATATTACTCAATTTATTTAAAAAAAACAAGTAAAACATATAATCAGGTGGCAAGTGAAAGTGACCCACTGACCCTCTTAAAATTATAGGTGGCCGCCGGGCCTCCACATGGCACTGGCGGCGTAGTGTCAATGACGTCCACAGGCTCCTCTGACGCGTTTCGTGCGCACGCACTTCTTCTGAGGTAGAGCAAGAATTGCTGTTTCTTTGTTTGATTAGACTGACTTTACTCTGTAATTCCTCCAATGCCGCTATATGGATGCAGTAGGTTTAAAGAGCACACCGAATACTTTAGTTAACTTCTTTAATAACTTGCAATCTTCTTCATATAACACTGCTTACAATGGCTTGTTTCGTTTATCTTACAGTGACTTATTTCTTTCATATTACAGTGGTTTAATTCGGTGGATTATATCAATAACTTATTTAGTTCTGTATATTTCAATAGATTCGATAGGTTCGATTACTTATCTCGTTAGATTATTTTGTTAGATTCGGTGGAACTACAAGTAAACACATACAACAGATTTTACACACAGATCTACCTGCACTGTTAAACAACAGAGGAACACACACGTGCATTAAATACCTATTTGGTCTTCTCTGTTTCCATAGAGCTTCTCTGACTGGAACTTGTCTGTTTCCTCCTCTGTCTGGTGAGCATGTGTCTCTAGAACAATCTAGCAGGGAGTTTTACACAGGCATAAATGTGAAACTGGCTGGGATTGGTTAAGGCTCTGTACAGTGTGAGGCTGTCTGTGATTGGCTCACCTTATACTAACTCTTAAAGGCATATTTTCCTTTTCTGCTTCTGCTAACACAATGAATATATAAATGTCATAACAATCAAAGACATAAATTACAGCAATGATTCTGCTTTTGGCTTTAACATATGCACATATATACTGTACTGAGGTTATTGTCAGGTTTGGTATACACATATATATGAACCATATGAGCAACCTAGGACTGGTCTTAGCTGGCCAGCTACAGCAGGGCCCTCGAACCCCTCGTGTATTGTATTGTATTGTTACTGTACTGTCTCTTGTATTTTCTCCCTTTGTAATGTACAGTGCTCAGCGAACTATTGGCGCTATATAAATACTGTATAATAATATATAGTGGGGCAAAAAAGTATTTAGTCAGCCACCAATTGTGCAAGTTCTCCCACTTTAAAAGATGAAAGAGGCCTGTAATTGGCATCATAGGTAGACCTCAACTATGAGAGACAAAATGAGAAAAAAAATCCAGACAATCACATTGGCTGATTTGGAAAGAATTTATTTGTAAATTATGGTGGAAAATACGTATTTGGTCAATATCAAAAGTTCATCTCAATACTTTGTTATATATCCTTTGTTGGCAATGACAGAGGTCAAACGTTTCCTGTAAGTCTTCACAAGGTTGGCACACACTGTTGCTGGTATGTTGGCCCATTCCTCCATGCAGATCTCCTCTAGAGCAGTGATGTTTTGGGGCTGTCGCTGGCAACACGGACTTTCAACTCCTCCAAAGGTTTTCTATGGGGTTGAGATCTGGAGACTGGCTAGGCCACTCCAGGACCTTGAAATGCTTCTTACGAAGCCACTCCTCGTTCGTTGCCCGGGCGGTATGTTTGGGATCATTGTCATGTTGGAAGACCCAGCCACGTTTCATCTTCAATGCCCTTGCTGATGGAAGGAGGTTTGCACTCAAAATCTCACAATACATGGCCCCATTCATTCTGTCCTGTACATGGATCAGTTGTCCTGGACCCTTTGCAGAGAAACAGCCCCAAAGCATGATGTTGCCACCCCCATGCTTCACAGTAGGTATGGTGTTCTTTGGATGCAACTCAGCATTCTCTCTCCTCCAAACACGACGAGTTGTGTTTCTACCAAACAGTTCTATTTTGGTTTCATCTGACCATATGACATTCTCCCAATCCTCTTCTGGATCATCCAAATGCTCTCTAGCAAACTTCAGACAGGCCAGGACATGTACTGGCTTAAGCAGGGGGACACGTCTGGCACTGCAGGATCTGAGTCCCTGGCGGCGTAGTGTGTTGCTGATGGTAGCCTTTGTTACGTTGGTCCCAGCTCTCTGCAGGTCATTCACTAGGTCCCCCCGTGTGGTCCTGGGATTTGTGCTCACTGTTCTTGTGATCATTTTGACCCCACCGGGTGAGATCTTGAGTGGAGCCCCAGATCGAGGGAGATTATCAGTGGTCTTGTATGTCATAGTGGAGTTTGGCGTGTGACTGTTTGAGGTTGTGGACAGGTGTCTTTTATACTGATAACAAGTTCAAACAGGTGGCATTGATACAGGTAATGAGTGCAGGACAGAGGAGCCTCTTAAAGAAGAAGGTACAGGTCTGTGAGAGCCAGAACTCTTTCTTGTTTGTAGGTGACCAAATACTTATTTTCCACCATAATTTGCAAATAAATTCTTTCCAAAATGCCAATGTGATTGTCTGGATTTTTTTTTCTCATTTTGTCTATGAGTAGTTGAGGTCTACCTATGATGCCAATTACAGGCCTCTCTCATCTTTTTAAGTGGGAGAACTTGCACAATTGGTGGCTGACTAAATACTTTTTTGCCCCACTGTATATATATACGTATACGTATATATATATATATATATAATATTTTTTTTTTTTTTGTGTGTGTGTGTACTGTATATCTCAGGTAACATATAAGAATAACATCTTGAAAAACAGAAAAGCCATTCAGTTAGGGTTTACTTTCCAGGTCTCAGAAAACACCTTCCAATAACTATGCCTAGTATTCATAGTTCATTAATGTGATCAGTAAGTTTTAGGTAGAATGCTCTCTATGACAAAATTAATTTCAGTAACAATAATGGAATGATGTTAAAGTAAAACTATAGGCAAACTTTCATTTTCATTTTGGATGGAGTAATGGAGGGTTATAACCCCTCTCAGTTTTTTTTTTTTCCCGTTGTCCCATTGGGGAGATTTACCTTTACTTCTTATCCCATAGACAACAGGGAGTCAGAGGAATCCCTGCAAATTATGGGAATTCCTTAGCTTCCCCTCCTTCCTTTTCAAGTCACCAGAACTAGCATCCCCATTGGAAGATTTCTCCTGTATTACTTTTCTGGAGACAACCAAAATTTTTGGATTTTCTTTTATTTTCACTTTCAATGAAAATGGTAAACAGGACAAATAAAGAGGGTGAATCTCCCTAATAGGGAAACTAGGGGTTCTAATGTGTCTCCACAGTATTCCAAACACCCCCAAAAAGTTTTGCCTTTAGTTATATTTTAATAACTATAACAATGTCAGGAAAAGAATCCCAGAAAAGTGTAGTGTTTCCTCATATTGGTATTCAGTGATCCCTTACATCAGAGGTCAGATAAGAAGGCCCCTTAGATTGGTGTTCGATGGAGAAGGGCCCCTTAAACTGGTAGTCAGTAGGAGATGGGCCCTCATTACACTGGTGACCTATGGGAAGAATGTTCCTACCAGGGGCGAACTGACAACTCATGGGGCCACCGGGCAATAGGGGATCATGGGGCCACCGGGCAATAGGGGATCATGGGGCACCTGTGTCCTTGCCTAAACTCAAAAAAGCCTATGAAAAAGGTACCAGGGGCATCTCATGGGGCCCCCTACTGACCCTGGGCCCTCGGACAGTGCCCGAGTTTCCAAATGGTCAGTCCGCCCCTGTATATTGGTGGTCAGTGAGAAGTCTTCCCCCTACAGCAGGGGTGTCAAACTGGTGGCCCTCCAGCTGTTGCAAAACTACAGGTCCCATCATGCCTCTACCTCTGGGAGTCATGCTTGTAACTGTCAATCATGCAATGCCTCATGGGACTTGTAGTTTGGAAACAGCTGGAGGGCCACCAGCTTGACACCTGTGCCCTACAGTATTGGTCTGGTAAGAATGTCCCCCTAACAGATGCTAAAAAGACAATCAGTGTCAGTGGTTCTGCTTGCCTAAGGAATCCCTAGCACCCTTTGAAGGAACCCTAGGATTCCACGAAACCCTGGTTAAGAAAGGTTGGTTTAACATCTTCTTTAAAATGAAACTTGTATATTGGTGAACTGTAGTGTATTATATCTTATTTGTAACTGAAAATATAGTTGGGTATCTTGATAAGAAAGTGAGCCACGCTCCTGTTAACAAGCCAGGTGTTCATTATACAGCATATAGGCTCAGGGTAATACTTTCACCTGTATCTGCTGATTGCAAAGTAGCTATCAAGCTATGGATCTAGACAGTGACTGTTTCCCAGATGGCCTGTTTTCTTAATTAGAATGGAATCCATCAGTGGAGCAGGTCCTATCGATCCATCTTCAAGACCTGGCTCCTTCATTTTTCCAGCCTCTTGAAATGTTAACTAGGTAAATTTGTATCTGTTGTTTCTGCCTCACCAACTTTGTGTAGGGTGAAAATTAAATCAAGTGGTCAATAGAATTGATGGAGCATCATTTTCTGTAGTGGCAGGATGACAAGAAGCAGCAGACCCTCACACACTGACCCGCTAGGTTTAGTTACAAGCATCCGATAAAAGTGCTTCTATCAGATAAAAGAGAAGATTCAGGTTTGTGTAGTAGTAGTCACATTTTTTATATATAATGCATGCCTTTCTATCAGTGTCAGGATGTGGACCACAGACTAAAGGCCCAACACCAGAGATGTGCATGACGGAAACATTTGTTTCGTTTCAGATTCGTTTGTTAAGTTAGTAATTTCATTTAGTCATATTCGTTATGTTAGAATGATTCATTTTCGGAATTTGTTTCATGTATTCAGATTCATTTCGTATATTCCTTATTCTATTCTGTTCCTTTATTTTCTATTCCATTCTTTTATTTTATTTTCTATTCTAATCTATTTATTTATTTTCTATTATATTCTGTTTTACTATGGTTCTTTTTATATCTGTTCTATTTTATTCTTTTCTATTCTATACTTTTCTATTCTGTTTAATTTTTCTATTTTCTATTCTATTGTGTTTTAATCTATTCAAATTTAATCCTTTATTTTCTATTCTATTCAGTTTTATTCAGTTTTATGCTATTCTATTCTTTCATATTCTGTTCTATTCTATTCCTTTATTTTCTATTCTATTCTAAAAAAGCAGCCTAAGTAGGAATCATCTTATTTCGCTTTTATACCTTATTGTATTTATTGCAATATATTTCAATTTCAAATTCAAATTAATTTTCAAATTTAGATTTGGATAATTTGTTTCATTATCACTTATTCCTGATTCATTGAAAATTGTTAGTATGGTGATTCAGAAATTCGGATACATTCAAATCTCTATTCTTTTCCATTCTAGTCTATTCTGTTATTTTGTTTTGTATTCTATTGTATTCTTTTCTATTCTGTTTTATTTTATGCCTTTATTTTCTATTCTATTCAGTTCTATGCTTTTCCAATCTTTTTCTATTCTTTTCTATTCTATTCATTTTCTATTCTATGCTGTTCTTTAATTTTCTATTCTGTTCTATTCTATTCTTTTCAATTCTATTCCTTTATTTTTGATTCAATTCTTTAGAGCAGTCTAAGTAGGAATCATCATCGTATTTCACCTTTATACCTTCCTGTATTTTTTGCAATATATTTCTATTTCAAATTTGAATTAGGATAATTTATAATTAATTTTCAAATTTAGATTTGGATAATTCGTTTCATTGTCACTTATTCCTGATTCATTGAAAATTGTTAGTATGGTGATTCAGAAATTCGGATACATCCAAATCTCTATTCTTTTCCATTCTAGTCTATTCTGTTATTTTGTTTTGTATGCTATTGTATTCTTTTATATTCTGTTTTATTTTATGCCTTTATTTTCTATTCTGTTCAGTTCTATGCTTTTCCAGTCTTTTTCTATTCTTTTTCTCTATGCTGTTCTTTAATTTGTATTCTGTTCTATTCTATTCTATTCTTTTCAATTCAATTCTATTCCTTTATTTTTGATTCTAAAATTTAGAGCAGTCTAAGTAGGAATCATTATCGTATTTCACCTTTATACCTTCCTGTATTTTTTGCAATATATTTCTATTTCAAATTTGAATTGATATTTCAAATACATTTTCAAATTTGAATTAGGATAATTTATAATTTATTTCTGATTTGTTGAAAGTCACTAGAGACATTGGTTCATATCCCTACTACAGTTTATTGAGGTTAGAGTAAGGATTACAGACACATGAAAGTTGGCACATGGTGGAATGATTTAGCATGGTTTTCCATGGATTTTGTGAGTGTATTTCCTATGATTTATGCGAATATATTAAGGATAATACACTATGTGCAGGTTTTTTTTTTATTTTGAGGATGATATTTGGTGGATGAAGTATCATTCACATAAGGAGGAAGATTATTAAATAAGAAGAAAGTATATCTTTGTCACATTAGGGGTTACTGAGATTAAATGGACGCTGAGAAAGACTTTTGATTTTTGGTTTGGACTTTCGGGGGAGAAATCTAGGGTATTATTATTATTATTATTATTATTATTATACAGGATTTATATAGCACCAACAGTTTGCTCAGCGCTTTACAATATAACGGGAGACAATACAGCAACAATACAGTTCAATACAAGAGGGATAGGAGGGCCTTGCTCCTTGGAGCTTACAATCTAGGAGGGATGGGCTAGTGGTACAAAAGCTAGTAACTGTGGGGGATGGACTGGTTGGAAGAGTAGAAGATTCCATTATTAGCTGAGGGCAGGATAGGTTTCCCTGAAGAGACAGGTTTTCAGAGATCGCCTAAAAGTGAGCAGAGTAGGCGACAGCCTGAGAAATTGGTGTAGAGAGTTCCAGAGGATGGGGGAAGCTCTGGGGAAGTCCTGGAGATGAGCATGGGAGAAGGAGACAAGGGAGCTAGAGAGCAGGAGGTCTTGCGAGGAGCTGAGAGTATGGTTTGGGTGGTATTTGGAAACAAGATTGGTGATGTAATTTGGGGCAGAGTTATAAATGGCTTTATATGTTATTGTTAATGTTTTGAATGTTATCCGGCAATGGGAAGCCAGTGGAGGGATTGGCAGAGAGGGGTGGCAAATACAGAATGGTTAGTAAGGTGGGATGAGTCTGGCAGCAGCATTCATGATGATCTGAAGAGGGGATAGCCTGCGATTAGGTAGGCCAATGAAGAGGGAGTTACAATAGTCAAGGCGAGATATAACAAGGGAGTGAATAAGTTGTTTAGTGGTTTCTGAGGTTAGGAACGGCCGTATATTGGAGATGTTGCAGAGGTGAAGTCTACAAGATTTGGACAGTGATTGGATTTGGGACTGAAAGGACAGATGGGAGTTCAGGATTACACCTAGTACCCTGGCATGAGGGGAGGGACTGATGATTGTGTTATTGATTTTGATGGAGAAGTCAGGGGAGGGGGCACGGTCTGGGGGGAATACTAAGAGCTCAGTTTTGGAAAGGTTGAGTTTGAGGAAGTGGAGTGACATCCATGCCGATATGTCACCTAGTAGGATTAGTAATGTGAAAGGAGACTGAAGGGGTGAGGTGAGGGGTAGAAAGATAGATTTGTGTGTCATCAGCATAGAGATGGTACTTAAAGCGATGGGAGTTTATCAAATGACCAAGGGAGGAGGTGTAGATGGATTCCAAGGAGTAGAAGGGGTCCAAGGACAGAACCTTGAGGGACCCCTACAGAAAGAGGGAGTGAAGAGGAGGAGGCAGCGTTATAGGTAACGCTGAAGGAGCGCTGCGATAGGTAGGAGGAGAACCAGGAGAGAGCAGAGTCTCGGAGGCCATGAGAGTGGAGTTTTTTGAGGAGGAGGGGATGGTCAACCGTATCAAAAGCCGCAGAGAGGTCAAGTAGTAAGAGTACGGAGTAGTGGCCATTGGTTTTAGCAGTTAGATCATTAGTGAGTTTTAGTAGGGCAGTGGAGTGAGCGAAAGCCAGACTGTAAAGGGTCAAGAAGGTTGTTGTCTGTGAGGTAGAGCTCAGGCGATTGTAGACTAAGCGTTCTAGGAGTTTAGAGGTAAATGGCTCTTAAGTTGTTAAGGTTGATGGGGTCCAGGGAGAGCTTTTTAAGTATGGGAGTGATGTGTGCATGCTTTAGAGGGAAGGGGAAGGCACCAGTAGAGAGGGAAAGATTGAAGATGTGAGTGAGGGAGCGTAGGATGGAAGAAGAGTTTGACCGTAGTAGTTGTGAGGGGACAGGATCCAGGGGGCAGGTAGTGAGACAGGCTTCTGAGAAAACCTTAGTGACCTCTTCAGTGATAGCAAGGTCAAAAGAGGAAAGTGTTGAGGGAGGTTTAGTAAAAGGTATGCTAAGTGGGATGGATGTCTGTGCAGTGGTGATGCCCCTACGAATTGCATAAATCTTGTTTTTGAAATGATTTGCAATCTCGTGAGCAGTGAGTGAGGTACTGGGTGGAGGTGGAGGTGAAGAAAGTAGAGAGTTAAAAGTAGAGAAGAGACGACGAGGACTGGATGACAAGGTATTAATAAGAGTGACAAAGTAGGCTTGTTTGGCAGCATGGAGGGAGGAATTGTATATTAAGAAAGCAGATTTATATCGGGTGAATGCTTGTTGAGATTTGGTTTACGCCACAATCGCTCCAGCGCACGACTATGTCGTTTAAGATTTCTGGTGTCGTCAGTCTGCCAAGGTTGTAATGGTCGGGGCCTGATGCTTCGTGTTGTTAGAGGAGCAAGTGAGTCTAATGTGGATGAAAGCGA